GACAGCCCTATTTAGGCTTTCTTTATTGCAAGTTCTGTTTAATTAAGATTTTCTTATCCCCTGCTATGTTAATAGCTTGCTAGACACTGCAAGAGCCTCATGTATGTGATTTAAAGTTCAATTTAGAAATTGAAATACAATTATTTAAGGTAAATAACATCTGTTTGAAAGTGAAACCATTTTCTTTATTCATGCAGGCTCTGTCAATCATAGCCAGGGGAGGTGTGGCTAGGGCTGCATAAACAGAAACAAAGTGATTTAACTCCTAAATGACAGTGAATTGAGCAGTGAAATTGCAGGGGAATGATCTATACACTAAAACTGCTTTATTTAGCTAAAGTAATTTAGGTGACTATAGTGTTCCTTTAAGCAGTAATTATTAGGGTTGAACGCTGTCAATAGAGGTTTAGTTGTAAGACAGCCATAGGTGGTTTCCTTGGGCAGTCCAGGCCTGACTGCTGTATCTGTCAGTCAGTCATACTGGATGCAGGTGTTATAAAATGGCAGTCATTGTTATTATCAATAATAATTATAAATAAAGGAAACTGGGTATTACCTGGGCTAGACTGTGTGGTGAGTGGGGGCATTAAATGGGCCCAATATCTTTCCCTTCACCACGCCATGATACGTGGAATAAGGCCACTCATTTGGACCCTACTTTGTATTATTAAGGTCCAATACATAGATTATATTAATAGAGAGAACTGATACCCTGATACCACTGACACCCACGCAGTGGGCAATACTCTGGATAAAATCTCACTAACAATAAATAAATCATCATAAATACTGTGAGAAACATTTTGATATAGAATTTCTGTGTGCAAATGACCACACACAATTGTAGATTCACTAAAGTTACTATTCAGAGGGTGTCAAGATCTCACTATATTTTATACTGACCTATTTAGCTACAGGACTATACCACTTCATAGACATTATTACGAAGACCACTCTTATTTCCAGGCTATACGGTGATTTTCATTCTTTATTTTGAGAATCGCTGTATTTATATTTCTCTGCTTTTCTGTTTAGTTCGTATTAGGGTTAAGCCCTGAGAGATCCCTGGAGTCTCGAACTGGTGGTAAGTATAACCGGTTCAACTTGGACGCTATTTTCGTTTCTAGTGCCACAAGCTGGGCCTGTACATTATCCTTTACTTGCTTTTCTTTGTTATATTATTGTCCTTCTTTTCCAGCTCTGCAAACCGGCTTCCCATGGCCAACGTTTCGTTCCGAAGATACAAGAACACAGACTATGATGCTGTTCGACTTCTTTTTGAACAAGGGATGAAAAGCCATATTCCTTCTATATGTGTTCACATCCTGAAGCTTCCCCGGGCCCAGACTATTCTTGTATTAGCTTTTATTATAGTATTTACAATCTCCAAATCCTACCTCCTGTCTCTTATGGGTGTAACTACAGTGTTGGCTGCTGGTTGGCTGTTAGTGAACACTAATTTTAATTCTTATGTGGAAAAATGTCACAAAGACGATCTGTTGGACATTGAGAAGTCCTATATGGAAAACAAAAAGTCTTGCTTCTGGGTGGCTGAGTCCAATGGAAGGGTTATAGGAATGGTTGGCGTCCAACCAACAGGAGACACGGGGGACATCATGGTGCTGAGACGCTTGTCTGTTGCAAAAGACCAACGTGGACAGGGTATCGCTAAATCTCTGTGTAAAATTGTCCTCGACTTTGCTCGAAAGCATGGAGCCAAATATGTCAATCTGGACACATCCATAATACAGAGACCAGCTCATAAATTGTATGAGTACTTGGGCTTTGAAAAGACAGAAGTCAGGTTGAGTCAAACACTTCCTGGAAGATTTGCAAATCTTTATGTTTTGTATTTTTCATACAATATAAAATAGTGAGTAATAAACAATGCATGGAAGCTGTTTGCAATTAACAAATCAAACAAAAGTGATTGAAATAGCTCAAAGAGTGATTTGAGTGGTTTCCCCAAATTCAACTAAATTCAACTTACAATGACTTCTCCAGTCTCAGAATTATTCAACCCTTTATGGCAAGCATCTTCAGTACTAAGTAGAGCACAATTTTGCTGTTATGAGCTGCTGCAAACAAGATACATAGCCAGGTACCAGCTTCTGGCAGCGTTCCTGAGGAATCGTAGCCCATTTCTCATGAGCAATGGCCTCCAATTCAGTAATATTCTTGAGTTTGTGTGAGGGAACAGCCTTCTTCAAATCCCATCAGAGATTTTCTATGAGCTTCAAGTCAGTTTACTGTGATGGCCACTGTAGAATTTTACAGGACTTTTTTTTATATTTTATTCATATCAAATTATGTTTCATATATAAATAGTTGATGTAAAATGAAAGCTCTATTACTCCTGTCCAAAATGATATATAATACGTGTGAGTGCACTTAACCCCTTAAGGACACATGACACAGTGGCGGATCCAGAGCCTGATCTCAGGAGGGGCACTTGTAGATTATTTAAATAAATAATCCAGACACAATAACCACTACAGCTCAGAGTAGTGGTTATGGTGTCAATAGTGCCGGGACCCCCTCCCAGAGTAAGTAGTCTGCTGGAAAATGGGGCTGTAGTAGGGCATAGGAGCAGTGGTGTGTGTGAGTGGTGCAATGTGTAAGGGGTGCGGTGTGTGTGTGTGTGTGTGTGTGTGTGTGAGGGGGACAGTGTGTGAGCAGTGTGTGTGTGTGAAGGTTGTAGTGTGTGAGTGAGGGTGGCAGTGCATGTCAGGGATGCAGTGTATGTGTGGGACAGTATGTGTGTGTAACAGTTGCAGTGTGTGTGTGTGTGAGTATTGCAGTGTATGTGTGTATGGGGGCAGTGTGTGTGTATGGGGGTAGTGTGTGTGTGTAGAGTGTGTGTGTGTGTGTATGGGGGTGCAGTGTGTGTGTGTGTGTGTATGGGGTATGGTGTATGTGTGTATGGTGTATGTGTGTATGGTGTATGTGTGTAGAGTGTGTGTGTGTGTGTGTGATAAGGGTAGGGGGGCTTTTATTTTATAATATATGTATTTTTTATTTATTTAATTAAAATAAATATTCTATGTACCCCCTCCCTTCTTACCTTTATTGAGGAGGAGGGAGGACATTTCTTAGTCCCTGGTGGTCCAGTGAGCATTACCGTGGTAACCACCACAACGCTCCAAATCTCGCGAGAGGAGGACCTGAGCTCCCAGGTCCTCTCTCCTCCCTCTCCCTCCCCTGCTGGCTGTCAGAAAAGTGCCTGCAGACCGAGATCTGAGATCTCCCCTGCAGTCCACAGGCACATTGCAGGGCTGGGACCAGCATGTGCTGGCAGGGGAGAGGGAGACCGTCGGATTTCTCGGGGGGGGAGGGGTGGGGCAATTGCCCCGTTGCCCCCCCCCCATGATCCGCCACTGACATGACATGTGTGGCATGTCATGATTCCCTTTTATTCCAGAAGTTTGGTCCTTAAGGGGTTAATATGAAAAAGGTGAATTATAGTTGAACAGACAGATAGTCTAGTCCGGTTTTGTTTTGGTCAGAACTAGTACAATTGCTTCTGTCCTTAACCCCTTAAGGACACATGACATGTGTGACATGTCATGATTGCCTTTTATTCCAGAAGTTTGGAAAGGGTTAAACAAACATTACTGGGAGTATTATTACTGTGGAGCTCTGTTATACACTCAGACAAATTGCTGGAAGTATTATTGCTGCGGAGCTCTGTTATACACTCAGACACATTACTGGGAGTATTATTGCTGTGGGGCTGTTATGCACCCAGACACATTACTGGGAGTATTATTGCTGTGGAGCTCTGTTATACACTCAGACACATTACTGGGAGTATTATTACTGTGGAGCTCTGTTATACACTCAGTCACATTACTGGGAGTATTATTACTGTGGAGCTCTGTTATACACTCAGACACATTACTGGGAGTATTATTGCTGTGGAGCTCTGTTATACACTCAGACACATTACTGGGAGTATTATTGCTGTGGAGCTCGGTTATACACTCAGACATAACTGGGAGTATTATTGATGTGGAGCTCTCTTATAAAATCAGACACATTACTGGGAGTAATATGGCTGTGGAGCTCTGTTATACACTTAGACACATTACTGGGAGTATTATTGCTGTGGGGCTCTGTTATACACTCAGACACATTACTGGGAGTGTTATTGCTGGGGAGCTCTGTTATACACTCAGACACATTACTGGGAGTATTATTGCTGTGGAGCTCTGTTATACACTCAGACACATTACTGGGAATAATATGGCTGTGGAGCTCTGTTATACACTCAGA